CTATGAAATGGACGATCTATATACAAAATGTTTATATACGTACAATGGAATATTAGTCTTAAAAAGGAAGGAAATTCTGACATGTTACAAATAGAGGAACCTTAAAAACATTATACTAAATGAAATAAGCCAATCACAAAAAGACAAATATTGCAAGATTCCACTTATATGAAATATCTAGAATAGTCAAATTCATAGAAATAGAAAGTAGAATGGTGGTTGCCAGGGGCTGGAGGGAGGGGGAAATGTGGAGTTGTTTAATAGACATAAACTTTCAGTTTTGCAAGATGAAAATGCTCTTGCAAACACTGATTGATTGCACAATATGATTATCCTCAACACTACTGAACTCTACACTTAAAATGATTAAGATGGTAAATTTTATGTTATGGGTATTTTACTCATAATTTAAAATAGATTTTTAAAAAACTAATCTTTCTAGACATTTTTCCTATAAATGTTTTAAAAATCAAAAATAGAAACATACTGTAATCTGTTTTTCATACCTAACCATATGATGTTAAACATCTGTCTCTCATATATAGCTCCCATTCTTCTAATGAGATCATACAACTGGCTGTACTATAATTTAACCAGTCTGTTTGCAGTTTTTCAATATTATAAAAATCTGCTCTCTCCATTCCATTCATAGTCAACATCTTTGCATATTTTCTCATTATGTCTTATGATAGACATCTGTTTTACATGCCTTTTTTTGGGTATCAATACCCTGATTTTTCCAAGGGAATAATATCTCTTCACCCAAACACCTATCCTGCATCCTACCTCCTCTCCAGCCAACTTTTGTTCTATTTGGCTAGCCTGGGCACGTTAATTTTAAAGTTTATTCCTAGGTATTTATTTTTCATACTGCTATTGTCATTTCTTCTACAATTACATTTTCTATTATTGCTCGCATAAAGCTATTGCTTTTGTCTACCTTGCAGCTGCTTGGTCACTTAACCTTATTATATCTATTTTTTTTTTTACTTAAATCTGTTGAATTTTCTTAGTAGATAATCATATCATAGGCAGACGATCATATCATCTAGGTAATCATTAAGACTAAAAGCTCTGGGCTCAGGCAGACCTGGATTCAAATCCTATGTCACTTTCCTTAAGCATTTTCCCTCAGTTTCCTCAACCATAAGCTGGGACTTATAATGGAAACTATCTCACAGTGTTGTTGTAAAGATCATGTTAATTGAGAAGAGTATATGAAAAGTGCTTAACACAATATTAGTTCTATAAATGTCTGCTATCTGACAATAATGAAAACATAACTTTCTCTCCATACTTAGACCTTTTTCTTGTTGTAGTATACTGGTGCACTTCCTTTGGCATTTATCTTGCTTCCCATTTCTCCAAAAGGAGTAGAAACCATTAGACTCCTTTTAAAGTGTCTGTCCTATGGATCTCATCCACTCCCACCTTCTCGAGAAAGTTCTGCTATTGATTTTTCCCCTTCATATCAGCCTCTCCCTCACTGCTTTGCCATCAGCGTTTAAATCTGTTCACGTCTCTCTCGTGCTTAAAAAGGCTTCATCTGATTACCCAATCGCTCTCCAGCCTTCCCTCTCTTCCCTTCACAAACTTCTTTCAGCAGCCTACACTTTGTCTTTCTCACATCCCACTCTCTCCTCATCCCACTGATATATTACACTGAACCTTTGGAAGCTGCCAGTATTATAGATTCCACCCCCACCATTTCACCAAATCTGCTCAATTAGGTCCCAAGTGACCTCTACATTTATTTATCCAAAGGACACATTTTAATGTTTAACTTATTTAAAATCTCAGTAGCATCTAGCAAAGTTCAGCACTTTCTTTGGCTTTCATTACTACACAATCTTAGGTTTCCTCCTACTTCTCTGGCCATTTCTTCTTGGTGTAGTCTAAGTGAATGGTTCTTCCAAGAGTGTGCAACACAGAGGTCTGGAATGATGGGGGCCATTTTTTAATCTTTTTGGTTGGGTCTCTTCCAAAATTGACTAAGTTCCAGTTATACTGGACTGCTTTTGTCTTTTAAATATTAAGTCCTGGTTGTATTGGACTGCTTTCATCTCCATGAATGTACCTTAAAACATGTTTGGAATACATACCATGAGGGCAGGGACCTAATTCCTTACTACCTACACAATTCCTGGCACATAGTAGATGCTCAATAAATATTTTTTGACTCACCATGAATGAATGACTGCAATGTGAAAAGCTGATCGGAGGAGTGATGACACCAAGACAGAACAACAAAAAACCCTGGTCTTTCCCAAACCATATCTCGATCAAACATACATAACACGCATTGCCTGCTTAAACTCCTTTGATGGCTCCTCAATGCCATCAAAGTCCAAACTCCTCAAAACTTACGAAGGAGATCCAAGGAAAGTCTTTCACACCAGCTTATCTCTCAAACGTCATCTAGCCAGACCACTTCTACTTCTCAGAGTTCGTCTCTAGCCAGCCTGAAAAATCCTTGCAGATGCCCAAGAAGCCTGCTCTCTCTCCCCAGGTCTTCGCACACACTCTCTGCCTAGAACACTGTGAACTTCACTGGCCTCATCTTCTGGCCAATACAAAGGCAGCCTTCATGTCTCCTTTTGGAATCTGTCTTCCTTTGGACTCTCTCTTTGACCATCCACCTCAGCCTCATCTCTGGAAATCTGGGTTCACTGCCTTCTCTGTGTATTCAGTCCTCTGTATGTCCAAAATCACAACAAAGTCCTATTTATGCCATAAAACTGTGGAGTTCCCTAAGGACAAGATCCTATTTACTTTTTTCACTCCTGGGGATCAGTCCAGGCTCTGGAACACAATACATGCTCAAAGATGGACCTCCTTGTAGTACAGGCATCTTGGAGCTATTGTGGGTTTAGTTCCAGACCACAGCAATAAAGCAAGTATCACAATAAAGACAGTCATAATCTTTTTTTTGCTGGTGGAACCTTGCCTTCAATTTATAAAAAGCGCAACACCTGTGAAGCACAATAAACCCAAGCTCAATTAAACCAGGTATGTCTGTAGCAGTAATAATAAAAGCTCCCCAGTATTGATGACTTACCTGCAAGGGTTTTAAACATAAATTTACCTTGCAATAACCTTATAAGACAGATACTATCATTGTCTCCAATTTGCAGATGGGAAAACTGATGCATAAAGAAGTCAATCCCCTGTGGCCCCAGAAGAGTCGCAGAGACATACATTTTCTGCAGTTTTGAGTTATTCCCCGTCACCCAAAAGGAAGGGCTTTTTTCTTTTTAAAGAAACTTTCGAATCAGGCCAAGCATCGGCCCCCAAATATAATGAACAGCCGAAAGCGCACTCCACGCCAGCTCCAGGCAGGGTTAAAGGGCACGAGGAGGCGTCGCCCCGGCGCGACTGATGGGATAAAGGTCCAGCCCCAGCCTCCTTCCCGGAGTCCTCCACCGCCCAGCCCCTCGCCCACAGCAAGGAGTAGACGGTCTGGCGGCGCGTTTGGGCTAAGACTGCCCGCTCGGCCACTGCTCACCTGCCGCTCCGCCGCCTCGCCGAGCCGGGGCCGCCGGCCCGCAGCGCCTCCCCCGGGCTGCAGGCGCCCGCAGCGCGCAGCGGAGCCCGTTGTCTTGGCGACTGGAGCTGCCGAACTCCCGCGGCTAGTGCTACGGAGGCTCAGAGGGGACTAGGGAGGTCCGCGTGCCTTTCCGCGGCCCCCGAGCGGACGGAAGAGGGAGAGCGGATGGGAGTCGTCAGAGGCCTCAAGCGGTGAAGGACCCGGGTGGAGTCTGGCATCCTGGAACTTGTCCTCGAGGAAGAGGAGAAGGAAAGAGATGCTGGGGGTGAGGGGGACAGCAAGGCCGGAGGATGACTTGTGCCTTGCATCTGCCTGTGCCTCAGTTTCTCTCAGTAATTGTGATGGAGACCATTATGGAAGACGGCAGGCCGCAGGTGGAAGCTTGCTAGACTGGGAATATTTAAAGACTTGAAAACTGATGTGGGAGGGGTGGCAAAGAACAAATAAACTTGTTTCTTTGGGCTCAACATGAGAATTAGATCACCAGATTTCAATATGGGAAATAATCTGTGCCCAGAAATTGCACCGCTTGTTATATCCCGCAGATACACTGGAACATGAGCACAAAGGATGTTCATTGCTTCACTGTAAAAGCGAAAGGGTTGAGACCAGTCTGTGTCCATCAGTAGGGGACTGAGTAAATAAATTATGGTGCAGCCATAAAACGTTACTATAGCAAGAATTAAGAGAGACTGAGGAAGATAAAGATAATAGATACAGTTTAGATGAAGACCTATTTTCAAGTTATGCACACAGCAACAGTCAGGTCTTTGCTTTTCCTCTTAACCTCAACCTTACCCCAACCTTGCCCCATCTATTCTCCACCCAGCAGCCAAAAATGTCCTTTTTAAAAATGTAAACATGATCCCTCCCCACAAAAAACTGCCCCCCCCAAAAAACCACACCTTTCACCCGCTTTCTCATCATAGTTACAATAAAATCTAGAGTTGTTACCATAGTCAGCCTCATTCCTCACCATTTTCCCTCTTGTCTATGCTCTAATCAAACTGGCCTTGTATTTAAGTCAAGCACGCTTCTGTCTTAGAGCCTTTCTTCTTGCAGCTCCATGTTAGGACCACTCTTCCTCCGGATATCCCTGTGGCTGGCTTCCTCTCTTCTCCCCTATCTCTACTCAAATGTTGGGTCTTCAAAAACATCAGCCCTGACTACTCTGTTTAAAATAGCAGACCCCATCAACTCTGTAAGCTCCTCTCCTTTACTTTTATTCACAACTCTTGTCAGTATCTGACATGTTATATATTTGTTTGTTTATTGCTTGTCTCTTTTCACTACAGCATAAGCTCTTTTAATGGCAAGCATTTTGTTTTGCTCCCTGCTTTTTTCTTATCACTGGGAATAGTCCCTGGCACGTAGTAAGAGCTTGGTAAATATTTATTGAATGAATAAGTAAAAAAGAAGGCAGTGTGCAAGACCATGTGGTTCGAATGCTATCACACGTAAAAAGGGGGTGATATATAGTATGTATAATGCTGGTAGATGCATATATGAACTCTGGAAAGACATCTGGGAGATTTCGGGAGTAAGATAACACATTTTCACTGTATATTGTTTTATGTAGTATTTTTAAAAACCAAGTATATGTAATATCTTTTCAAACAATATATAGGAGTATAAATGATCAGAATATGCCACTCCAAAATATGCCACTTTATAAGGATTATTTTGAGCTGAAGGCACCATCTTAGCTTTCTTCTGCTAAGTCCAACAATATTCAGATAGGAAGAAGCGAGGATTTTAAGAGCTACCTGGAAAGTTCAGTGGTCCTGAAGCAAGCTGACTAGGGCAGGTATTTGGGGGTGGGTGGGAGCAGGGGCAAGAAAGGCTGGGGTTGTAATTCAGAAAGCTTAAGTAATTCTCCCTCCTCTGCCATCAATACTTCTGTGGCCTTGGGCAAACCATTTCACTTTGAGCTTTTTTCCATTTCTATAAAAAAGGAGGTTAGAGTATATTAATAAGGCTTCAAAAAAAAAAAGGTTAGAGTATATTAATAAGGCTTCTTCCAATCTAAATATTCTAGGTTTCCAAACTCTGTAAGTTTTTATATTCCCAGGTAAATATGTCCCTACATTAGTCATTTGTACAATAGTGTCATCATTGCTGACATATCTACATACCACCTATGATGTTATGTAAAGAAATCATTTTCAAGTTTTTTCTTTAAAGAGACTCTCGGTTTTAACTTAATTTTAGAAAGGAAAATTTACATCACTGCTTGAATGGAAACCCAGCATTGCTTGGTAGAAGTAGAAAAAAAAAGTTTTGCAAACATACACAAAAATCCTAAAACAGAAGTGTTATTTAATTGTAGATGTGGTTACCTTGGAGAGATTTAGAAAATGAAGGCTTCATCCTGTTAAAAACGGAGAAGCAAATGTTAGAAAAATAAGTACATACTAGTCTTAAACAAACCTCTTTGGTTTGAAACAGGACTTTGTCTTTCAATGTTACTTAATGTCATGTTCACGCACCCTTAGAACCTCTCATTTACCCCAAATAGTATAGAGTCCACATTTTAGGAAACGATGCCCATCTTTCCCTGATTAACTTGGACTCATCTTTCAGTTCTCAGATTAAATATAAATTCCTCAGAAAAGCCTTCTGTGACTACCCCTCCTTCCAACTAAATTGCTTTCCCCTTACATAGTGGGCATTAAATAAACTTTTATCGAAAAAAATATTCTCTCATACTATTTCTTCATAGTACTCATCATAATATGCTGTGCATTTATGTTCATCGTCAGTCTCTTTTTAACTAGGCCATAAATTCTTGTGCACTTCTGTACACTAGTTCTTGACACATAATGGGCTCCCAGTGAATACAAATGGTGAAGAAATAAAGACTTCACAACTCCTGCTGCCCCGGCCACGTTTGCTCCAGCTTTTCTCCCAGCCAGCGGCAAACCCGGTCAGCCCGCCTTCCGCTCAGCTCCAGGGCTGGTTTAGCCCCGCCTCCTCCCTGCATGCGGCGAGGATTTAGCTCCACCTTCTCCCTCTACCAATGACAGGTGCCCTCTGGGCAGCGACCGAGGGCGGTGGGCGGAGCCACGCCGTGACGCTAGCCGCGCGTTTCCGGCCTGAGAAACCGTGGCGTTTCTGAGGAGACGCCTCAACTGGCAGTTACCACCGCGCTAGAAACCTCCTGATCCGCCACTTCCATCACCTGTGTTACCATGGGTGCTGTGCTGGGCGTCTTCTCCCTTGCCAGCTGGGTGAGTTCCGGATCTGGTGTCTCCGTCAGACTTGTGGTTTGGGGAGGGCGATAGTGAGCCCCAAGACTAGACCCGAATAGACTTCGACAGCAGAGGGCCAGGGGCTGGGGGCGACCAGCCCTGGGCTGCAGAGGGTACCTAGGGGCCCAGGCCAAACTCCGCGATGCCCCGCCGCAGGGATCAGGCAGCTCGCCTTCCCGGTTTGTTGAGGAATGTAGGAGGCCAGGCTGCCATTGTTTACAATTTCGATTGCCCCGCCCCAGCGAGCCTTCCGGCCTGTGGTTCCTCAGGTGCTGGAATAGGACCAAGGAATAAGAGTTCTCTGGTGCATTTCGAAGCACCTTCTTAAGGTGGCTCCATTTAATTTGGGTAGCTTTAATATTTTTATCCCATCGCACGGGATTGGCTAAAGCTACAGGGTATGTGGCAGAGCTGGGAATTTTAACCGAGGCCTGTTTGTAGTTCTCGTGTAAGAGGAAGAAGGCCTTTGGATTATTATCCGGAATTGGAAGCCATGGTCTGAACTTTTGGGACCCTGTACAAGTCATTTATCTCTGGGTACCCATAAGACGAGGATAATCACCCCAGCATTCCTCGCCTGGAGAACTGTTGTGAGGATAAAATGAATAAATTGGTTGAATCACTTTGTAGATTTTAAACGCCGTATTTTAAAAAGGAAATTTTAGGATCTATGGCATAGAAAATGCTGAGTTCCCACATGTACTCACTTTACAGGAGTGAGATTCCTTGAAATCATTTTCCTGTTTCCTCAACTGATTTAATTGACCAAGGACTCAATCACCTCATTTCACTGCCATTTCTTACAGGCAGAGTGTGTTTTCCATCCTTTAGGGTTGTTGATCTCAAATCAACAGGGCGAGTTCCTTGAGAACAATGGCTTTAAGAAATTTTACATAGTTTAGTTATTCTTTTTAGACACAAGTATGATGAAATAATTCTTACCTTTACCATCTGCTGTAAAATTTTTCATTTTTATCACATTAAAAAAGTCAGGGTCAGTTGAGTTTTACAATCCAATAGTGTGTCAAACTCACTGTTTACAAAAAGATTCAGAAAAAATATAGTTACAAAGGTCATTAAGGAGTAAATTGATAATTTGAAACAAAGGTGTCTTTCCTATCCTAATAACCTGAAACACATTTTGGCTTTGTTGTAAAGCTAAGATTTGAATTGATGGCATCAAAGCATTTCTATCTATAAATCACTTTAATATTTTATTAATCCCTTTGTTCAGTAGAAACGCAAAGAATTCAGTGTACCAGGGAATGGAATGAATGAGGGGAAGAATACTAGGAAATGAAGTAAGAAAGTAGCGGGGAGCCAAATCACGTAAATACCCATTGTAGGGTCTTGTAGGCCAATTTAAAGACTTTGGCTTTTACTTTTAAGTGCTATTTTACAGAAAAGAGGAATGATATGACCTGACCTGTGTTTTAATAAGGTTGTTGTGTGGAGAATAGATGGTAAAAAAGAAAGGTAAAGCACTGTAGGGGAGGAAAAACTTCCACCTTATGTGGGGTTAGTGATTCGGGAGGGGCCTATAAATTAAACTGACAAAAGATTAGCAGAGGAAAAAAAAGTTTATTCGTGTGCAGCACAACAGGAGTGCTCAGTGATAAACAGATCAAAGGGATGGTTAGAATATAGGGCTTATTATATTACTAAATTAATAGGGGAAAAGGAGGGAGGAGGAAAGTGCTTATGGGAAGAACAAATAAGTTTCTTTAGAAAAGACATGGGTTTTTAGGGAGAACAAACAGATAAGAAAGTTTGTGATAATAGTTTATGAAATTACAGAGGTCTTTTTGTCTTTTTCATGGCCATAAAACTCCTTTGGAGAGAGAATTTATGGCAGCCTCATATCTCCAAAGTTGCTGCTTTCAGTGAAATGAGGAGAGCTCTGAGGCGGCTTTTTTTCTGTATCTGTTGTGAATCTCAACTGTTTTCATCTTAAAATAATCTCTCTGCCAACTCTCGGTTCTGAATGGGTTGCCACAGCAGTGACAAAGGAGTTAATGCATTTAACCCAAAAGAGAGATGGTAGTAGTGTCTTGGACCAATGTGATAGCTAAGGATGCTATGAACGTGGTCAGATTCTGGATATATTCTGATGTGCTTACAGATTGGGTGAGGGTTTTGGAAAAAGAGAAGGCATTTAGGTTTTGGACTGAGCAATTTTAAGAATGGAGCTGTCATTCACTGAGATAGGGAAATGACATTCAATATAGTAGGACAGGTTTGTTCCACAGATCAAGTACCTTTACACAGTAGATACTCAGTTCATTTTTATGGCTGAATAATATTCCATTGAGTGAATAGATATACCACATTTTACTTATCAATTCATCAGTTGATAGACATTTGGATTATTTCTGCCTTTTGGCAATTGTAAATAGCACTACTTTGAACATTCATGTACAAGCTTTTGTTTGAATACCTGTTTCAGTTCTTTTGGGTGTATGTTTAGGAGTAGAATTGCTGGGTCATATGATAATTCCTCAAAAAGTAACTTTTTGAGGAATCTCAGGTTACTCTTGAATGGAGCTAAATGGCTCTATCATTTTTTATAAGGATTTCCATGTAATGTTGCTTTATGCTGTAATATCAGATTTAGTAACTAGGATTCTCACTAAATAGCAAGTGGAGTTAGGTTTGTATTTTTCTCAATATTAATATATATATATTTAAGTACATTCTCTGTGTGAATATAAGTAATTTATTGAACTCTTCATATGTTTTAGGTGCTGAGTGCTTATTTAATACAGTACTGTCTGAGGGAGGAAGAGTCTGTTGAGTCTATTTTACAGATGGAGAATAGGTTTGCTGAACTAATTGCAGAAATGATATTAACTCCAGAGCCTATGCTTTTAACCACTTACTCCCAGCTCTAATTCTCTCCGTTAATTGTCAAAGCTTGGTTTGCTTCATCTTCAATTCTGCCATACCTTTGTCATGAAGGAGTCCACTGAAGAAGATCTCAAATGGCCATGGTGTGCTTATTACAGGTTCCATGCCTTTGCGGAGGGGCATCATGTTTGCTGTGTAGTTGCTGTCCCAACAGTAAGAATTCCACTGTGACTCGCCTCATCTATGCTTTCATTCTCCTCCTGGGCACTATTGTATGCTGTATCATGCGGACAGAAAGTATGGAAACTCAGCTGAAGAAGGTTAAGTAGAAATAACAGTACCCTTAATGTACTGATTATTTTCATATTTTGCAAAATTTTAGTTAAAATTAAATTCTTGTTTTTATCTTCACTATTATGAAACTCAGTCAAGTTCATTTTAATTGGGGGTATAGTCAAGACACAGAATGTGAAGGTTTTACTCCTTTTCCAGAAATAAAGTTAGTTATAATGAACCTGTTCATGTTCTAGTCTAACAATTGAAAGAAAACATATTAAAAGAGTGGCCCTAAAATGTTTTCTTTCCATGTGTGTTTAAGATTTAAACTGGACTAGGCCTTCACCTTTGGAAGGAATGAGTTATAGCATGAAAATTCATGGGAAATGGGAGATAAATTCATCAGTAGAAAAGAACAAAGAAGAAAGCACTTCACATTTGTTTTCAAAATGCAAGCTGTTTATACCGTTTGGTTTCAAGATTATAAGTGAATTGAAAGATAAAGAGAAAATCTCACAGAACAGTCTCGCAGTTGTTGAATCAGTCAGTTTTATAAATTTAGGCTCTCTTATGGTGGGATAAAATCTCTGTTTAAATGTGGATGTTCCCATAACATTGAAATTATTTTTTCCAGATTCCTGGATTCTGTGAAGGGGGATTTAAAATCAAGGTGGCTGATATAAAGGCAGATAAAGATTGTAATGTGCAGGTCGGTTATAAAGCTGTATATCGGATCAGCTTTGCCTTGGCCATCTTTTTCTTTGCCTTCTCTCTGCTCATGTTAAAAGTAAAAACGAGTAAAGATCCCAGAGCAGCAGTACACAATGGGTATGTAAGACTGATTGATTGATTGATTGATTGATTGATTGAGTTTTGAGGGGTTTATGAGTTTATTTGAGCCAACATGCCAAGAAGCAAGATCTCAAATGCTCCCCAGATAGATTTATTATTAACTTGTTACATTGCGGTGTGGATCCTCCCATTTACCAGTTAATGTTGCCATTCTGCTGGAAGCAGTAGAATATGTAAATCAGTGGCCCAGAGGTATTCGTGACCTGTTACACCTACAAAGTTGTTTCAGCTCATTTTCAGTGGGAGCAGTTTAGCACAGGAGAGGTAGAGGGGATGAGAGACTTTTCTTTTTAATACCTTTTGTTCAGTTCCTAGATTTTTATTGAACTTCTGTGAAACATTTCAAGCACTGTGCTAGGCACTACACACACACACACACACACACACACACACACACACACACACACTTTTTTCTATTGAAAAAAGACAGGAGAGGTAGAGGGGATGAGAGACTTTTCTTTTTAATACCTTTTGTTCAGTTCCTAGATTTTTATTGAACTTCTGTGAAACATTTCAAGCACTGTGCTAGGCACTACACACACACACACACACACACACACACACACACACACACACACTTTTCTATTGTTAAAAGATAAGCATGTGCATGATATGTTCAAACAGTACAGAAAAATAAACTGAATTTATTTGGGCCACTGATTTACATTTTCTGTTGCTTCCCATTCTTGGCCCCCAGTTCCCCTAATTCTTGTTTGAAGACTGAAGGGAGTTTTTTAAATTTTATGTGTATTATAATCCCTTTTTTACAGTTGCAATAACTGAATTTCATAGAGGTTAAATAAATTATGTGAGATCTCTCAGCCAGTGAAACTGGAATTAAAGCTCAGGTCTATCCAGTTCCAAAAGCTGATTGTTTCCACTCTGCCATACAGGCAGTCTTTAAAGATTGTGGACTGAAAGCCAGGTTTGGTCTCGGCTTTGCCAGTGGTGAACTCGGTAATTGTGGGGTAGGCATTTATGTCCCATGGTGTATAAGAAGGATTAGGTGATAACTTTCCCCCAGATCTAATAGTTACTTGCTCTATATTTAGCTAACATTGTTAGTTTAGAATGCTATAGAATTCTATAAGAATTCTTATCTTTAGGTGCTAAAAGTAGGGAAATTCTAAAGATACGTTTCTTGTAGTATAAATGTGAATGTTCTGTTGGCTGTGCTGCTTGTCCTTAAATCATATGAGGTATTGAATGAAGTAGCTTCGTGTCAAATGAAGACCTAAACCCAGTCATGTTGGAAACGCTACTAAGGCTTATTTTTGCATTTCAGAAATTTATTTGTCTTGGTGTAAGGGTGAAAATTAGCATCTAATAAATGCATTTTATATTTTAATAGGTTTTGGTTCTTCAAAATTGCTGCCATTGTTGGTATCATGGTTGGATCTTTCTATATCCCTGGGGGCCATTTCACCACAGGTATGGCTCATTGTTAAGGGGGTTGATTATAATATATAGAGACTCTACAAATGATTGTGTTAAAGCTGCATTTTCATTACTGATTTTGAAGAACTGACAATTTAATGAGGTGGTGTCCAGTTGTATGACTTGGTACTAATATTAAGATATTAATCGATTAATTGAAACCAAGAGGCATTCAGCTTCTTAGCTATTCTGGAACCATATGTTAATTGTTTGCAGTGTTTTAGTAGTTTACCTTCTGTCTTGACAATACTAAGTTAATTGGAGAGCTTGTCAACATATGGACTTGTAACTTATGTGCTCCACTGCCCCTTACTTAACCTGCTTCTTTATCATGGCATCAAGTGACTTCTGTGGATTTCCACAGTGATTTTTTTTCCCCCTATAAATTCCATTTGGAATGTCAGATCCTAGGCTCTCCTAGATAAAAGAATAAGTTTTTAAAGGTCTGAAACCCAGCAGAACACTTATCAGAAAATACCTCTGAGTTTGGAATTGGAGCAATCTTGCTGTATTGCTGGAGACATAATATGCCTTTATCACCTCTCTTTTGAAATATTTTTAGAATGTTGGACAGTAACATTCTGAAATGTTACTTCTGTGATAAAGAATAACTTTTTTATTTTGGTTTATAGCCTGGTTTGTTATTGGCATGTGTGGAGCCTTCCTGTTCATCCTTATCCAGCTGGTGCTATTGGTAGACTTGGCTCACTCTTTAAATGAATCATGGGTAAATCGAATGGAAGAAGGAAACCCCAGGTTCTGGTATGCTGGTAGGTACCTAAATTTACCTGTGAGAGCCATACTGCTTTGTGCTGCGTTAAATAGAGTGTACAAAAAAATCCCCATTGATTTAAATGTATAAACTCTCGAGATAGACCTGACTTTGTAAACTATGACTTCTCATTGAGTAAATTCTGAATTATATGCATTCCTGGAAGGGAGTGGCACATAATATAAATCATTGGATTCTCTGAATGTATTTACTTTGTAATGTAACTGCATGTGTTTAGGAAGGGAAAAAGTTGTATTTAGTGACAGAGTTCTAGTTTTGATTTCCTTGTTTCCCTGGACAGGGGACTCAGATGCATTCTGTATCTGGGACATCTGCCAACATAGGCAGAAGTGCGACCCCACACTCACAAAAACTTTTTGGTGGGAAAAGGGTACCTAAAGTTTTGAGGTTGGGAATAGAATTTACAGCCTGTAATAATGGGGAGGGACTTTGGAGCCCTCTGTTTATTGGGAGCAATGACCCAGCTGTACTTTAGTTTTAAAAACAATGGAGATTCCTTGCCCTGATTCCTCATGATAAAATCATAGATGCTCTGTGTCAAGAACTTGAACAACCAAAAATCACAAAAGAAAACACATTCCCCCCTAATCCAGCACCCCAGTAATTATTACTCACTGTTAACATATTAGTCTATATCCTTCCAGTCTTTTTTTCCTCTACGTACATATGTATCATCTATGTGTAGAAAACAAATCATTGAAAAACATAATACATTTATATCTTATTTTTAAAATGTATTTATATTAGAATAGTTTGACTTTTTTAAACTTAGAAATAACTTGTGAATGTTTGGCTACAGTACAGCAATAAGTATCAAATAACATTTTTGAGTACATTTCTGATTATTTCCTTTGAATAAATTCGCAGAAGTATAAGAATCAAAGGGTATGGATATTTTCAATGCTTTTAGTACATATCAAATTTAGTGTGCTTCTTTTTAAATTGAAAGAGAAAAAAAATACCATTTTACCATAAACACAAAATGATAGAATTTTGTAAGGAATAAAACATGTCACTCTCCATCAGCCTGCAACCCTCTTTCCTTTCCAGATGTAACCACTGTTACTGGACCTTTGTGTATTTGTGCATATCCACATGTTTTTATATTTAAATGTAAATAGCTTTATACCATATATTGTTCCATGACTTGCTCTTTTCACTTACTATATGATGAATATCATTCCATATGAGTGAATATAGCTATGTCTTATTCATTTAACAGTTGCATGATATTCTGATCTATACAATTCCTTGGTGTTCTGTGGCATGATATGCCATAATTTATTTAACTATTGCCCTCTTTTTGATCACTTAAATTGTTTGTAATGGCTTTATTGGAGAAAAAAAGATTTTTAAAATTGTCTATCATTTATTATTATGGGTTGGGAATCTTGAAACTCTTCTTTCTTTCTGACTAATAAAAATTTATTTCATTTTTTACCTATTTACTTCTGTTTTATATAATTAATTTTAGATTATTCAACTCCAGAATTTAAAAATGAATTGTAGATTTGCCATAGATGGGAATAACTAAAAGTAGAGAAATCTTGTATTATGTTAAGATGGAAAAACATTAAGAACTGTACTTAATGTACATCACCATTTTATAGTTAACGTCATACACATTTAATTTTAAACATGCAAAATCCATTGAGATTGAGATAAGTAGAAACTAGTTTTCTCAAATAAGTTTATGCTTTGAATTAAACACAAGTTAACTGAGCTCAGCATTGTTACCGTCTGAGTATAGTGTATACTGTTTCATGTTTTTTGTTTCTCAGCTAATTGTTGATTAGCCATGTGAATAGAAAAGAACATCGCTTTAGGTATTTGAAAGTAGCAAGTGAGCCACTTTCCCACAGTGATGTGGTCTCATTGTGCTAGGAAATGAGTTTATGTAGTCAGCCCCTACAGAGGAAACACTGCCATAAAAGATGCCCTTCTGTTCTGTTTTCTGCTAACACCAACTCTGGCATTTAGCTTGCTGTGAACTGGGCCATTTCGAGGGCCCAGGAGTCTTTTAGGTTCCTAAAGAAAACCTGTAATGAACAGTATTTAGCATGTAGTTAGAATTTGCTCTGGTTAGAATGATCAAATGTCTGGTTTTTCAGCCCATAAAATCAAATGAGGTATCCAGGAAGTGAATTCAGTTGTTTGGTGGGTTTTGAAATTTAACATCGAGCCAACTCCCTAACAGTCTGAAACTTCAACCTTGGGGCTTCTGTCATTTCACTGTAAATTATTCACCACTATATAGGTAAAATAATGCCTTTTGATTTTTATATGGAGTGAAAGGAAATTAGTCTTTATTATAAGTTTGTTAGAATTGTGGGCATTCATACTGGTTTCCCTTTTTTCAGTTTTACTTTCCGTCACAAGCATCCTATATATCGTGTCAATCATCTTTGTTGGTTTGCTCTACGTATACTCCACCAAACCAGATGGCTGCACAGAAAACAAATTCTTCATCAGTATTAATCTTATCCTTTGCATTGTGGTTTCTATTATATCCATCCATCCAAAAATTCAGGTACAATTGTTTTCTGCTTTCTCCTCCTGTAGATTTTTAATTAATGCTAAATTTGAAACCTAGGTAACCTTATGTATGAATTTATGTCCAAGTTTTATCTACTTAAATATTTTTCCATATAATAAACTTCATAATTATAACTTTGTAACTATAGAATGTGCCATTGAGTTGCCTGTATCATCATTAAATAATTTCCCTATCATTAATTTAAAAAACTAGGTAACTTGAGAATTTATAATTCTTATAAAATTGTTTACATCATAAGAATGATTCTTATGCATTAGCTAAGATATTTTAGGGGAATTAAATGAGAAAAAATAATTGATTTTTTAATATTTAAAAATAAAACTCATATTCCTGAGTTTCATCATTAAATACCATACTCTTAAAAATTCATGGAGTTTTATGTATGAAATAGGAAAAGAACACGTAGACATCACCTCTCTTTTTAAAAGGCAAGAAAAGTGAAGTTCCCGAGAGATGGTGGGTCACCTAGCTAGTTAGTGGCAAAGTTGAGTTTTGATTTCAACTACATTAAGGGACTAGTAAATTAAAGCCTTTGTGTGATAAACAGGAAAATCCAAGATTATGAAATGCCTTGAGAACCAATAGTACATGCTTCCTTTTTCTTGGTTCTTTTTCAGGCTAACTCAAACTGAAAGGTTACTTGTCGTCTTTCAGCTGTCAAGCAGAATCAGAAGGTTGTTAGTTAATACAATTCAGTGGAGAAGTGCACTGAGGTTTAGAAAGTCAGCCTTTGCAGTTCCAGTGGCATTGTTTTCTTTTTGATTCTATAGGAACACCAGCCTCGTTCTGGCCTCCTGCAGTCCTCTGTCATCACCCTCTACACCATATACCTCACATGGTCAGCCATGACTAATGAACCAGGTAAAGGAATGTCAATGGCAGACTCATTTGATGAAAGTAGGAAGTTACTCCTTTGGTGGGTGCAAAATCTAGAGCAGATGTTAATCAAGTGAACAAACAAAAAACTTCACTGAAATGTATAATGTCTAAAGTATGTTGCAGATATTTACCTTTCAGGTTTTATTTCCCATGTTTATTCATACCGTTTCATAGCTGACAGTCTAAAGGAGACCACCATTCTTTATATTAGTCTAGGCTTCTTCCCCCCCGACTGAGTCAAACTAGTTAAGAGCTAGACAAGGCAACATTGTTTTGGCCCTTCCTAGAATTGTTTCGATTGAATTTTACTGTGGTATTACAGGCTCTAGAAGAAACAGCTGTAGGAAATGTTTTGTAATACGGTTGTTTCTCAACATGGTATTCTGTGGACTCCTTATAAAGGAAAGCAGTTATTGCAGACCCTCTAATAATGACCCAACTCATTTTTATAGGGTTCCTGTGCAACAACAAAACTAGAAATAAACTTGTGCTTAAAGCCTTTGCACAACTGTAAACTTCAAAACCAGTAAAATCAAGATGGACATATATAAAATTTGACAATTTTTTTTTTTCTAAAACTAAAGTCACTGGTTGCAACACAAATATATTATTGACTGCTAAGTTTCAGGTTCTTTTAAATATAGCATTCCTATGTTTTACATCATGACTGAATGATATGTAACCACACCCTCAAACTAGACGAGTTGTAACTAAAGATAATCAAATATTTCTCATTTTTAGATCATTCCTGCAACCCAAGCCTCTGGAGCATCATTACGCACATGACTGCACCAACCTTGGCTCCTGGAAATTCCACTGCTGTAGTCCCTACCTCTGCTCCACCATCACAGAATGGGCATTTTCTGGATGCAGAGAATTTTATTGGGTTGATAGTCTTTGCTTTCTGCCTTTTGTATTCTAGGTAAGTTAAAAGTACTTAGAACAAGATTCTTATGAAAGTTAATACTAGAGTGAATCAGTTATTTTGCTTTGAAAAGTCAGTGTGAAGAATTTTAAAAAGCAGTTTAACTCTTTTTTGTTGAATGTACTTGACTCACCTCAGTCACCCAGCCATGTGCATTTCTTAAAGTTCATTGAATCCTCTCATCAAGTAATTCTTTCCAACCTTACAAAGAGATACCTTCTCCCTTGTATAGGAGGATAAAGTCTGCACCTGACCTTAAATCAACTAGAATAGTGGCTCTGACAATGAATTGGCTTATCTTTAAAAACAAAAAATAAAAATCTGTATTTCCCGATCATTGTAAATAATGAAACCACTATAGAATTATGCACATCTAATGTTAAAGACTAGGAAATCCAAGACCCCGGATATAACCTTTGTTAGCAGTTTGCACTTAATCCTTCCACTCATTTTTATTGTTTTCTATATAATAGCATATTTTACTTTAATTATTTAAAAATAGTAATAAAAATGGGCAAGGACACATTTATATAAACTAATAACATAAGTGAGAAAGGTATAAAGTAGGAAATGAAAGTATCCTCCCTCCAAATTTACCTCTTCTGTGGTTGATATTTGGTACCTATTATTTCAGGCCTTTTTCTTTTGCTCATACTATCGATCTATCTGTATTATATAATTACACATAATTTCACATATAGCCAAAGCATGATTTTTTAATATCACTTGATATATAATTTTTAAAAATAAATTGGGAACATACTATAAATACACATGCTATTCTGAGATATGAAATTGTCACTATAATCTTGACAGCTTTCTATAACCTGTGTAGATTTACCTTTTTTTTTTTTAATGATTGCTTAAAATAGGCTGTCTGCTTAATTTTGTAAATGAAGTTTTTTTGGAAACACAGCTATTCTCATTTGTTTTCATATTGTCTTTGGTTGTTTTTGTTTGTTTTGCTTTTGGCCTTTATTTTTTTCTTGAGATATAATTCACTCTTTTAAAATGTACAATTCAGTAGTTTTTTAGTATATTCACAGAGTTGTGCAACCATTTCCACAATCAATTTTAACATTTTATTTTCCCCAAAACCCCATATCATTAGCAGTCACTCCCTATTCCCCTTACCTTCAAGCCCTTGGCAGACAGTAATCTTTTTGTCTCTGTAGATGTTTATTCAAATATATGAAATCATATATAATGTTTTGTGATTGGCTTCTTTAACTTAGCATGTTTTCAAGGTTCATCCATGTTGTAGTATATGTCAGTATTTAATTTCTTTCTATTAGAATTAATACTTCATTGTGTGGCTATACCACATTTTGTTTATCCAGTCATCAACTGATGGACATTTGGATTGTTTCCACTGTGGGGCTATTATGAATAATGATGCTGTGAATATTTGTGTACAAGTTTTTTGTGTGGCTGTGTGTTTTCATTTCTCTTGGGTATATACCTAGGAGTAGAATTACTGGATTATATGGTACCTCCATGTTAACCTTCTTGAGGAACTGCCAAAGCATTCTCCAAAGTTACAGTGCCCCCAGCAACAGTATGAAGGTTTCAATTTCTTCACCTAATCATTACAGTGTAATTGTCCTTCTTTTCGATTGTAGCCATTCTAGAGGATACAAAGCAGCATTTTATTATGGTTTTGATTTACACTTCCCTAGTGACCAATGATGTTGAACATTTTTTCATGTTCTTATTGGCTGTTTGTATATCTTCCTTGAAGAAATGTCTGTTTAAATCTTTTGCCTATTTTTAAATTGGGTTATTTATCTTTTTATTGTTTTTGCATGTGATTTGATGTAAGGGGTCCAACTTCATTCCATTGTATGTGGATATCCACTTGTCCCAGCACTATTTGTTGAAAAGACTTTTCCTTCTCCATTGACTTGTTCAGACATCTTTATCAAAACTCAACTGATCACAAATATTTTTTTTATATCTATTGAGATGATCATGTGGTTTTGTCATTTATTTTTATGTACTTTTTTATTGAGTCATTTCACATTTAGTGAGCATCTGTGTGCTAGAAATGCATAGATGACTAAGGTCATTGTTGTTAAGGAGTTCCTTGAATGACAAGAAAGGCAGGCATGGTAAATGCTATGGCAGAGGGAAGCATTAGGAGCTACGGGGATTTAACCCAGCATAGTGATGGGGTGATGTCAGGGAAAGACTTCTAGAGGACATGGCACATAGCCAGGGAATTGAAGGATGAGTAAGTTAGCTGGGAGAAGGTTGGTGAGTGGTACATTCTAAGCATAGAAGAGATATTTGGGAAGTCATGGAAGGAGATATTGAGAGCTTGGTATGTTTTAGGAAACTTAAGCAGTTAAACCATCAAGTAGTAACTGATAAGAAGAATTCTGTCTGCTTTGTGATGACAGGTAACCATAAAGAACTTTACGTAGGGCCCTTCAGAAGGCTTTCAGTCCCCAAAGTGTAGGAGCAGTTCAGAAATAACCTTCATCATGTACACAGGCCAGTGGCAGCAGTTCATTTTCATAGTCTTTCTGATTTGTCTTCTTTGGGATCACTCTCCAGCATCCGCACTTCCACCAATAGCCAAGTAAGTAAGCTGACGCTGTCAGGAAGTGAAAGCGTGATCCTCCGTGATACAGCTACCAACGGTGCCAGTGATGAAGAAGATGGACAGCCTCGGCGGGCTGTGGACAACGAGAAGGAGGGAGTTCAGTACAGCTACTCCATCTTCCACTTCATGCTCTTCCTGGCTTCCTTGTACATCATGATGACCGTGACTGGCTGGTACAGGTAGGAGGCACTAATGAAACAGATGAAAGACCATTTAGCTCCCGTGGGCTGCCCGTAAAATCTCCATCCATTTTCCTGACTTCAGAGTCCTTTTCTTACCCATATAATGTAGTTTTGTTCAGTACTGATCTTTTCTGAAATACTTTTCACTTTTTCTCCTTTTGGATTTAAAATCCAGTTGGAATCCTTACTGTGCAATCGTGGGGAGTTCTTCCAAACTTGAGTACTTGAGAAAGAAAATCTTGACATAAAGAGGGATACGACCCATCTTTGTTCACTAATTTTCTCTGCCTAGAGAGGGCCATGTAGACTATTAAGATTGAAGTAACGATGTGGTAAGGAAGGAATGTTTCAGGGAGGCCTTTTCAGTCTAGACTTTTACCAATATCTAGAACAGCCAGTTGTTCCTGAAGAACTTTTCCCAAGGATTAGAGACTCAGGGTTCTTCATACTGGCAAGAAGATAAAAGCCTTGTAGAGGTAGAGTTCTCTGCTTAGAGAAACCAAAAACAGTTTCCTAAGGCCCCTTCTAGAACATTACTTGGGAGTAGTGTCAGCCAAGTTTCACTGGAGAATTTCTTGTCCTGGGCTGGGGTGCTGCTCGATGCCGATAGCAGGCTCCATTACTTGACACTCTTCTGTTTTCTTAGCCCTGATGCAGAGTTCCAGGTCGTGACCAGCAAGTGGCCAGCTGTGTGGGTCAAAATCAGCTCCAGCTGGGTCTGCCTCCTCCTCTATGTCTGGACCCTTGTGGCTCCACTTGTCCTCACCAATCGAGACTTCAGCTGAACGTCTGAGTGCCAGGAATACCACCACAATTCATCAAGGTGTCCTTTGCTGAAAGCCTTTTTGCTTTTGCTTCAACTAAAATACTAAATGAATGCTTTGCAAATGTGACTATATCCAGGTTTATATCAGAGGGCAATATTGAATAATGATTGATGCAGGATCTCAACTTCTCATTTACACGTCTGTTATGTTTATTTGTAAGGACATAGCGCAAAGGGAACATTTTTGCATTATAAAGTGAGCTACAGCTGTGCTGTGCAGAGAGTTCTTTATTAAGGCCTGTAGTTCCTACGACTTTGATTTAAAATGTGAGATAGAAAAATGTTGGATATTTGAGGCCATCGTTAATATATTTCTATTGCAGTATCCTTAAAGAGCACGTCTGTTATGTTTATTTGTAAGGACATAGCGCAAAGGGAACATTTTTGCATTATAAAGTGAGCTACAGCTGTGCTGTGCAGAGAGTTCTTTATTAAGGCCTGTAGTTCCTACGACTTTGATTTAAAATGTGAGATAGAAAAATGTTGGATATTTGAGGCCATCGTTAATATATTTCTATTGCAGTATCCTTAAAGAGCAAAAAAAAAAAAAAAGAAAAGAAAAAGTAATAATGTATTTCTGTGAGTTTTCCTCTGTGAAGATCTTGTGTGATACAGCAACTCTGTTCAGTCCTTAAACTCTTCAGAGGTGTAGTAGCATCACAGTACTTGGGCGAAGGAGTGTGTGTGTATGTGTGGGTGGGTCTTTCCCCAGAAGACAGGTTGCTGATATGGCTGCTGCTTCTACATCCTGAGTTTTTTCATGCACCTTTTTTTTATACTACAGCATTGATTCTGTGGCTTTGCCAGAATGTTAATTTCAATAAAAGCTTTGTAGGTTTGGTTAAAATGAAGATTCACTTGGGAAAGCAGTACAACTTAATGTAACTACCTTGTTATGACTATGTAAAAGCAAATGCATGTGAGTTTATTATATTTGCACTATAAAGATATTTGATTAAAATAGAGACTTGAGCTTTTAAGGCCCTTTTTTTTAAAACAACTTTTATGAATTAACAACCATTCTATATTTTTCTGAAGCCATTCTATATATTTTAGACTTATATGGGCAGCCAGATTTATCAGGCATCTAACAAAATGAGCCTATTCCTTCTGAAACTTAAAAGCTGGTGTGAGTAAAGTCTTGAACTCATTCAAAAATTGTACTGAATATCTTCTCTGGGTAAGACGCTTGAGTGGATGAGAGACTAGGGCAGGAAGTGCAGGAGAGGTAGCATGCAAGGAGACAGGGGTTTGTTCCTTCAATAAAGATTCATTGTCTGGTTTTCCCCGGCCCCTGTCAGGTTCTGGAATACAACTTAAGTATGACAGACACCGGCTCTGCCTTCTTGGACTTAGTGGTTTCAAGGAGGGTGTAAAAAAGCTGACAAGTGGTACAATGTGGTGTAGTTAGTGCTGTGATTTAGGAATTGCAGAGAAGTCAAAGAGAAGGTGCCCAGGGTAGAGGGTGACATGGTGGGCCTCCTGGGAACAGTGATGTCTGAGCCAAGAATTGTTAGGAGTTACCTTAGAGGGAAATGGGGAAGAGGGATGGCATTGCTGAAGGCGGGGAGGTTTAAAAAACAAAACTTGCTCAGTAAAGCTGGAATGGGAGAAGTAGGTAGGAATTAGGTTATGAAGGGCTTTGTAAACCACACTAAAGAGTCTGGACCTGATGTTGAAGGCAGCGGGGAGCATATTCATAGTGGCAGGGACACACTGTGTCTCAATCATTGTGGCTGATATAGAGACAATGGGTTTAGAGAAAGAAGACCAGGGCAGTCCATATAAGATTTGAAACAGAAGTAAAAGTGAGCATGGGGAGAAAGTGACCGCCCAGAGCTACTTAGTAATTAAAATATTTAAATTGGCAACTGATAGATTTGAGGGAGAGGTGTATTCCTGAGTAATACTATTTTTATCACCTGGGTTGATGGTGGTTCCATTTGTGTGGTGAGGGACAGGGAGAGGGACAAGTCATGCTAAAAGAATGGAGGTGGCCCCTTAAAAACAGCTAAGAGCATATGCTTGGGAGTCACTTGGGGTTGCATCCAGTTTTGCCATTCTCTGTCAGACTGGTCAACTACTATTTACTGAGTACATGCTGTGCTTTATGACTTGGGCAAATGACCACCTGTTTGAGCCTCAGTGTTTGTGTGAAGAAAAGATAGTACCTACTACATAAGATTGTTTAGAGAGTAAAGTTACCCCCACCCCACCACCACCATCACCACCCGCCCTTAAGCCCTTTGGTAGTAGCTGCTAATCTCAACATGCGCTAAAAAGAGACTAGACGGTATTCCGAGGTCATAGATTTTCAGCCAAAATCTAATGGAGGCTAGACTGGAGGTATTCTGGCAGAAGTAACTAGATGGTATGTACAGGGCACAGTCTCAGTTGGGGTAGAGGTGGGGGGTAGGAAAGCAGGGCTTGATATGAATTGTTGGAACCACGTCTTTGACCAGTGTTTTATGTTAGGGCACAGAGTTAGGTTGGCAAGGGAGTTGAGGGGACAAGAAGGGGATGGCAGTGTAAAGCAGACACCCCACTTTTCTTAACAGCAGGGCCAGCCAAATTAAGACCGTCAAAGATCCTAAACTACAAAAACATGGCGCACCATCCCCTACCTTATGTAATTCAAAAGCAATACCGAACTGTAAAATAAGTGTAACAAAGTCCAATAAAGTTTTTATTTTTTTCTCGTGATGATAACTTTGATATTAATTGAAGTAACAGATTTTCTTTAAAAATTAGGAGGCAGTGTTCCTGCTGTGTTTGGTCGTACCCTAAGAATAAGTTACTCAAGACTCAGGTGGATTATACACAAGCATAAATGTCAGCATTGTGAGTAAGCCCAAATCAAGCTTTAAAGCAGGGGAGTATTTTGAATCATCAGACCTCATGGTGTCATCTCACTCCAGATGAGTCATCTGTTGTTTCGGCACCATGAACAAAGCCTGTCTGTCTCCCAAGATTGCAGATTGAGGGCCCTGGCCTCGAGGTCCTCAGTATGCTCTAGGAGTTCATCAAAGGCAGCAGCAGTGGCTGCTACTTTCACCTAGTTACGTCTGGGAGAAAGCTGTAGGCCCATGCTGGATGTCGACTTTCTAGTTTGATCTTGCAAGGACTCAGTTGGAAAATAAAACTTCCCTGTTAATCAAAGATAACTGCCAAAGAATGGCCATAGACCCAGTTTTCAGTGCTATTGGTGTTCTGGACCAAGTCATAATTCAGGCTAAATTTAAATCAGGACAGCATTTTTGTCCATTACCAGTCTTTGCCTGCTTTTTTATTTATATTTATACACACACACACACACACACATATTTTTTATGTATATTCAAGCTAAAGTGAGTATTCATTCAGTAATATGAGTCATACATTTGATCTCTGCAGATCGATGGCAGAGACCAGGCTTATGCTTACTAATGGCATCCACAGTTCATCTCTTTATTCCTTTTGTGTTGACCTACTGTATCCGTCCTGTTACCTAGGTGCCCAGTCACGTAGCCCGCTCAGTGATAGCCTAAGCACTGCTGGGTGCCTCAAGCCACAACAAATAATGGCTATCACATAAACAACTACATGTACCAAGCAATGAACAGACATGGTCTACAACCCTGCAAGGCAGTGGTTATTCTCCCCTTTTAGTGATTTGCCCACAGTTAACTCAGTAAGAGGTGAAGCAGAAAAACAAATCTCAAACTTAAGAATTCTTTTTTCAATTAGCCCCATTGTCTCTTGGCCTATTAGGATAGAAGAGACAACATAAACTAAAGACTGCTTAGAGACATGGGAGTCAGCAGGCTCTCTGAGCTAAGGTCACCAACAAAAGAAAGTCGGCAATCCCTGTAGGCAGTAGCTAGTATCCTACTAGGTCACTATGTCCCTAATGGCTGGCACCTTATCAGGTAAGAGAGTGAACATTTGATTAAAATTTCTTTTTCCTAGAAAAGGGGCACCCTTAAGGAGTTTATTACTCACCAGCTTTAAATGCAATAACATGAAACATTTACTGCCATTTATTATAGGAATGCCAAGCCAGGACTAAGTGAAGAGTGGGCGCTGGGGAAAATTAAGATATTTTAGACAAGAAACTAGAAAATGCTGACAATAACATGGAAAATAACTCCAGTGGCTTATAAAGTGCCTCCTCATAAGTATCCTCGTAACACTCCTATAAGGAAAAAAGGCTTGTTTCGGCACTATGAACAAAGCCTGTCTGTCTCCCATTAGCTCCAATTTTCCAGATGTGAGAAACAGAGTTTAAAGTCTATAGCTTCCTCGGGGAAGGCTGACCTGAAGAGCTGGTATGTTGCAATATAAGTACTTACTTGTTGCATCATCAAGAGCCAACGGTTAAGTGTAGGGACATCCTGCATGAGAGTATTTCTCAACCGAGCCATCACCAACACACCAGACCCACTATGAGGACCTGGCTTTTGTCTCTTCTGGGGCAGAGAGCGTGCTCCTCTATAGAAACAAATGGGGCAGGCAGAGAAATGGCTAAGCATGCAGAGGACCAGAGTTGATTAAGCCATCCCCTAGTCACCCCGCCTCCCCCTGCCTCCACCCAAGGAGTCTGGGTTTACTTACAGGTGTACTGGGAATAAAATGCTCAATTACATTTTGGGTCTCAGAAGTTAAGAATCTCTGCTTTATATTTTCCAAGAAGCTAGAAAATAAGCCAGTTTTTAGACTGATGCTTCCCCACTGTATAAAAATTTTTTTTCCTCTGTGGGCTAATAGAAGCATGCACAGCCTAACACCAGTCAGAGCCTGGTTTTGAATCCTAGTTCTACTACATGACTTGTTGTGTATCTTTGGGCAAACTGCTCAACTTTTCTGTGTCTTACTTTCCCCCCAGGGGCAATAATACTGCTTCATTCAGGGTACTTGACAATTAAATGAGACTGTGTATGTGAAGCACTTAACGTGATCGATGCCCAGCCCACATGAGCACTCAAGACTTGGTCGCTATCACAGGAAGGATTCAGAGCCACTCTGGGAGGTACATCTGGGCCTCTAGAACTGAAAAATTTGCATATCGTCTCTATCACTGTGTGCATCTACCTCCTTTCTACAACACGCTGGTGTCTTCCAATTGTACATGATCCTCAGAGGCAGCCAGCCCAACACCTTCAGAACGTGCTGTGCTGCCACAGTGCCCCTCCCTGCCTCAGCTGGAGGGAGGCTCTGCCAGGCCACCGGTACCATGAATAATAAAGCCTCGGGACCTTTATCCAAACTGTCACTGTCACAAAAGGACTCCACACACACACTCAATCTTACAGGGATTTTTATTGTTTAAGACCCAGTCATGCATACTAAAATTACATGTTTTTACCACTTTGACTTAGAAAATGCACTAGAAAAATAAACTTTTGGTCAAAACAAACACTGAAGTAGATGAGTCCACCATTGTGCATCCTTATACCCAAAGCCAAACTGAACTTCAGTTTGAAGTAAGGAATGTGACCAATGCTGAAATGGTGCCCCAATCTGGTCAGAAAAGAAGCCCATCCTCCCACCCCGTTAGAGTGGTTGGTGTCAGAGGCTCGTGGCCCCAGAGGTTTCAAGTATGTCACTTGTAACAGGTTCCCACCTGATGTGCCAAGAGGTGAGGCGTATCCACAAGAATCCCCAAAGAGCAGCCACCTGACTAAGCACACCGCCCGCCCGGGAGATGAAAAGAAAAGCAGAGAACTGGTGAAAAGGGAAATACGTGGCAAGCACCGCCATTCAAGAGTCACACTGGGCCTCCCCACGGAGCAAGCTCTATTAAGGAGGAATATTTGACTCTGATGATGCCTGTTCCTTGCATTTCAAGCAAACTGTTTCTGAGTCAGGAGAGCAGAAAGGCATTTAGATTTACAAAGTTAACAACTCCCAATACTGAGAGCTGACATCGTTTCTGAACAGTTGATAAGTTTCTGGTATCTCCATACCTCTCACATCACAGGACGGCCACAGTTAGATCATGACTTAACATTTTACTTCCTAAATAAAAGAAGAGATTTCAAAAGAAAACCTTAAAAGCTGAAAAGTTTAAAATGAGGTATTATAAAAATGCCACAATAGTACTACAGCTTTTGCCTACCCAAATGAAAAAGTGATCCCATGAGACTCAGATGGCATTTAAAGAAACTGCCCACCCGGGGAAAATTCAGAAAGGCTATCTCACAGGAATTCGGAGGAAATACTCTTACTGCCCTGACACTTTCTGGCAAAAATGTAGTATCTTAAACGCTGAAGTTTTGTAAACTCAGGACAAGTGGCTCCTTGTGAAAGCAGGATGAAGTAAGAGGGACTAACGCCACCCATGCCAAAAGCAAAGAAGCTCAAAAGGGGAAACCAGAGTTGCACATGCGGCTGTTTCTGTGAATTTCTTTGCACAGGTTTCAGCCTCTCCCCGTGAAGGTAGAACAGGACTCCAGGAAGAGGCAGAGTTTTTCAGAATTGTGTTTAGGCGTGTGGGTTAGGAAGAAGGAAGCCCCCATTATTACTGAAGCTTACAGATTCGTTTGGAAGCTTTAGGTGCCAATTCATTCTGGCCTAAATTTCCTGGATACTAACCCGTGTGGGGAAAAAAAGAAAAAAGCCTCTAAAAAGAGTGCAGTGTCCCTGTGGCAGTGAGGGTGATGCTGGGAACAGAGGGCTCGGAGCTCAGGCTGCAAGCCCTGTCTAGTATATGAAGATTCAGGAGTGTTCAGTGGCTCGTCCAAGGCCACACAGCAAGGTGCAGCTGGAACTCAGGTCTCTGGATGTACTGTTTTCCCTTCCCTACATCACACTACCCTGAATTTAGGGAAAAGTTAATTTTCAGGTGTCTGAAATGGGCTGGAGCTTTTCCCTGAAGGAATGCACTCCCAGTTCCCCCGAGGTGCTGTTGGTCTCTGTCAGCGGGCCTGCACACGATAAGGCTCCTGTGTGCTCCCCCGCCCTCCCTGCTGGGGAAAAGGTATGAGTGATTTGATTGCCTGGTGAAGCCGCACGGAGACTGCCTTGATTTCAACCCAGGGAGGTCCCGGTTTCGCAGCCTGGTGCAAACCTCCTGAGGTGCCAAAGTTATTAGATCTCTCTTTGGAGCCAAAACAAAGCACAGCAGTTCCAGAAGGCAGACATACCTTGGCTCTGACTCCTTTCAGAAGCTGGATGAAAGAGCGCCTTGGTCCAACTGGAAAGGTCTGAGTAACATCTTTCTGGTCTCTGAGATATTTCTCTAGGTGAGATTGGCCGCCCCTGTGTAAAGTCACATAGACAAAAGGCCAGGAACGCAATGCAGAGTTTAAACTCTGGAAATGTGGTGGGGCTGAGAGATTCATTTCTCTGTCTAGCCTTTGTTGTTGTTGTTGTTGTTGCTGCTGCTGCTGTTGTTTTAATCTTTTCTTTGGGGCCCAAGAAAGCCTCTAACCATTTCTCCCATCCAGGCAGCTGAGTTCTGAACCCTCTACATTAGCCGTCCCACTTGTCCTGTTCAGATCTTTTCAGCAATGCTGGTCACACCACATTGTGAGATGGAACTAGAGGCAATGGGGGGGTGCATTGTGGCACTTCCAGCTCAGCCAGGTCCCCAGAGGATCTAGGGTTAGTATTGATGGTGAAAAGAGCTTTCCCTAGAATTGGCACGAATGAGGTAAGTAATTTCCACCAACTTCTCCAGACATTTTCAAAAGTGCTATAAAGGTGAACAGCTTATTCACAACAGACTGGCCTTTGAATTTCAGTGTACCTGTTCTCTTCCTAACTGAGCTGTCCACCTTGTCAGGTGGCCTAATAAATGCACAGAGAAGGTACACACACAACACATAGTATTTGTCACTATTTAACACCAAAATCTGCATGGAATGAATATGAAAGGAAACAGGTCAAAAGCCACCAGATGAACCACCTAATGTGGGCTATGTAAGGCTAAGTTCTGGACAGGAAGGGTCTAAAGTGCTGCAATGCAGAACTGACATTCGGTCCGGCTGGGCAGACTTAAGTGTGTCCGACCACATCACAGAGAGAAACAAGTGGGGTTGGGAGGGCAGGGGCCCCAGAAGTGACCCAACAATAACCTGCCCTCACGTTCATTTCCAGAGACCAAAATTCCAGAATCCCAAGTACTTTAACCACTCCCTCTTGCCAGGTTTACAATACACCACCAGATCCTCGGGATGGAAGGAATTCATATAAGGTCCTGGTCATCTCACCTGCCCTCACAAAAGCCATCTTTTTCAAGTTTAACCCTCACTATGAAAAGAAGTTGGTATTGCTCAGTTCCAGGAATATACATACTTGTTTCTTTCAAAGCAGGGCCAAACAGTGAGATATTCCTCTTGGAAAGACCCAGATGTACCACAAAATCAGGATCCAGCCACTTGTATCTAGAGTCATCTTTGTAGGCCAAAAAGCAATGTCTAACATTCAATAACTAAACTGAACCCCAGAACCTCAGCAGCCAAAAGGGCCCTACGTGTCATTTCATTCAACCTCATTTTACAGAGGAGAAAGCTGAGGCCCACAGAGGCCCAGGTCTTGTCCACCATTACACATCGGAGGCTGGAGCCCAGGTCTCTTCATTCTTAGATCTGAATTTTTTAGCTACACAGGCCTGGCATGCAGTATTTTAGGTTGAGTAAAATCACATATTTCTAAGACCCTGAATGATTCTATTGAGAACCAGGGCTAAGGCTTTATGGGTTTGGGAAAACTTGAGTTCTATTGCAAGAGTCAGTCAATGAATCCCAGAGGTGCCTGAAGTCTCTGGCTCCCAAATTTAACCACGAATTATGTCCCGCTGCATGCCTGATTGAGATTAGGTGCCTTCCAAACCCAATGATGGCAACTGTGGCCTGGACCTTAAACTTGAAGATTCCTAATAAGCAACAGAAGTCTGCAGTTAAGGTTCATGTGAAAGGCACAAACTCCCAAAGTCTCACGTGTGGCCACCTTGCCAGCTTGGCCAAACTGTTTCATAGGAGTGTGCTGACAGGTCAATTAAGATGTTTTCTTCTGGAACGTGGCATCAAAGTGACTTTGGTCCTGATTTTTCTTGCTTTGAGATGTAAAAGAACCAGATACAGCGTCTGGATTAATGGTTGCAAACTGGGATTCCAAACATTTGGGAATCAGTGGGGAAGTTTTCCATGTCTTCCATGGAATAATTCAAGTAATCAAGGGCATAACCCTTGGCTCACCCTCACGGTTCTACAGCCTTTTCCTCCACGCTGCAGTTTCATTACAAGGAGCAAGACTGAATCCACGGACTTTGAATTCTCTTTGTGCCTTGCCGAAGGAGAGAAAAAAGATTGAAAGATGGTGATGCACAGGGGGCCTGGCTAATAGCAGGAGTACAGCTGTGACTTCACAGCCCGCACAGAGTCATCACACTGCACGTCTGAGGACAGCCCCTCGGGCGGCAGGCTTTGGCTCAGGATACTGTCGCAGGCAGGGAGAGGTTGGCAGAACTCTCTCACGAAGTCCTCCTCTGAGGCCAGGAGCACCTCGTTCCAGGCGGTGATGTCCAAGTCCCCAGCGGTGCCCCCATACTCCTTGGGGAGAATGCTTCTTGGAAGATTTGTGTGAAGAGAGTTCAGGTCAGATCCATGGAGGAAAAACTAAAGCATAAGGAAAGGAAAACACACATGTCCTGAGGTTGATCAGTATGTCGGTCACCTTCACAGTAAGTGCTCAAATAAATATCTGTTGAATGAATAAAGGAACAGTTGATGGCAACTCTACCCTTCCAGTGCCTCAAAAAGCTTAAGGATCTTTCACTCTCTTTTCCTTATACCCTGTGCCCTGTTGGCTGGTCTTTCAAAATAGATCCAGAATCCAAACACTTTGCCGCCCCTCCAGTGGTACCATGCCACCACCATTTCTCACCCGGACTCCCACAGGGGCCTCCTATCTGGTCTCCCTGCTCACCCTGGTCACAGCACAATCTGAGCTCTTTTCAGTGGAAGTCGGGTCACATCGCTCTTCTGTATAACCCTCCAGTGCTCTCATCTCACACAGACTAAAAGCCGAGGTCCATCTTAGGGCCCGCAGGGCACAGTCTGGCCTCTGCTACTTCTCTGCCCCCACCTCCACCCCCGCCCCGCTTCTCACTCCCCCTCTGCTGCTCCCCCAGCATGCTGGGCACGCTCCCACCTCAGGCTCGCACTGTTGCTGGTCCCCAGATATCTGTAAGGCCTCTCTTACCTCTTTCGAGTCTTGGCACAAATGGCAACTTCTCAATGATGCCACCTCTAACCACCCTTCTGAATACTACAACCCCTTCCCCCATTCCCTCACTATCCCCTTTCTCTGCTTTTTCTCTATAGCACTTAACACATTCTAATACTAGATAACATACATAATCTATTGTCTGCGTCTCCTTAGAAAGTAAGCTTCCTGGAGGTAGAGATTTTGGCCTGTTTTGTTCATCTAGAACATATCTGTACATAGCAGTTGGTCAGTATTTTTAAATGAATGTATGAACATACAAATGAAGATTATGAGCCACAAATAAAGTCATTTCACAGATGTACACAACCTGGTCCAAAGGCTGCTTGGGAAAGGCAGATTCCAAAAAGCATCTCCAGAAACTAACGTAGGCTCCGACCCAGGCATAGAGGCACTAAGTTAGCGGTTCTCCAACCTAACTGTATATCAGAATCACCTAGGAGATTTTAAAAGCACAGATTCTTGGGCTTCACCCCTGAGCTGATGAATTAAAACCTCAGGGAAAGGGCTTGGGGATCTGGATCTGGACTTTAAGTTTCCTCCCTTGCAATCTTGAGATTCTCTCTCTCTCTGTGTTCCCTCTTTGAAAAAGAATATAAAATTCAAGACCCAGTCTTTAGAGTGATCACAATGTTCCCAGGCCTAGAGAAGGAGGAGAAACATACCACCCACCACATTTCAATCACGGTACTGGGAGAGGTTAAGTAGCTCTTGCATCTTTTAAAGTGTCATCTATCTTTTAAGTAATTAAGCTAAAAACACAAATATCTCATAAACCTTGAATTATTCCACAAACTTTATACAGTGAGACAACGAATTAGGTAAATGGAAAGGTTTAAATAGCATTTTTAAACCCCAAGGAGCTATAAATAGAATTTGCTATAACTCTCTTTAACTCCCTGCAACAATGAGTACCCTTTTCCATGTCTTCTTATGCATCAAATACAATGCTAGTTCACAATGCCCAGGCCAGAATATTAAAAAGTCCAAGTGATGACAGAGCAGGGAAGCTCTTGGAATAACAATCTTATTTCTGCTCTCTACTATCAAATATTATATTCTTCCCTTCACGGAAAGAATTGTTCATTTATTTTCTCTGTAACGCTGTCCTTTCCAAATTAATAGTTCCAGGGCAAAAATAATGAACTACGATCATTTTACTGATGTCACAATAAATTTACAGATGTCACAAATAAGGGAGTAAAAAAAATTAAAGTATCTTTAAGTCAACAGGATCATTGCTTACTCTGTTTGCTATTTTCTCCTTCAAAAATGGTTTGATGATGGCGAAAATGCCTTTAAATATTCGCGGTTCATTCACTACATGGACCGCTTTTATCCGAATGGGGAAACCATCCTGTGGGGGAAGGAAAAAGAATGTTAGAACATACGAAATATCTGCAAACCATTTTCGCAAAGTGTCCATTACCACAGTCTGCCTCCTCCGTGTAGTTCTTCACTCTAGGCCCCAACATGGGTCTGGTCTGATTCTCACGGCCTCCTCAAAGACAGCCCTGGTGCAGGCCTCCCTTGCAATCTTGAGATTCTAGGCTCAGGGAAGGAGTCTCTCTTAGGCTCAGGAAAGGAGTCTCTCTTAGGCTCCAGAGCTGGGTTAGGAGTGAGGCAAACACGTGGAGAAAGCTGCTCCTCTGGTGGCAAAAAAAAAATGGCCTGAGCTCCTGCCAATGGGTCTAGAAGTTTCAGACCCTCCGGTCACTGTTGCCCGAGACGTGTTTCTTAGGGTGTTACCAGGTGTGACGCAAAAAAGGGCTCCATGGTGGGTAAAGAAGTTTGAGAAACAGGAGGCTAAATGAGTCTAACCAGCTTCCTTAACTACAGGATTGTTCAGAGCTGTTAACATGCAACTGTTTACAGTGAAATTCACAAGGAAAGGGCTTACTAGACCACACTTCCCAAACTTACTTGACCCTGGAACTTTGTCGCCCAGATCATCTTACAAGACCAGAAAAACACTGATCCAAACTCTCTCTTTAAGCTGATGCTTGAATCTACATGGTGTTGAATGGAGGCATCAGAATAAGAGTGGAGGCTAAGGAAAGCCGGGTACTGCCTCAAAGCCAGAATTCAAATTTCTGATAATGACCCAATGTGACACTGATGTTTAAAATAGTCAGTCTGGTGCACAGTAGGGGCTCGAATACGCCGTGGACTTCAACCAGGAGAACTGGTCTATCTCTGGTGCCCCATGGCTCACAAGAGAGCACCCCACGGGCTGGGTCGGCATGAACTAGGAGTCAAACCTGGTAGAGACCTGGGCCAGGCTACTTCCTCTAGGTCTCAGTTTCCCTATCTATCAAAAAGGAAAAGTAATTCTTGCCCTGTCTATCTCAGAGGATTCCTTGAGGACTGAATGGGTTATAATGACTGTAAAAGTGCTTTGCAAACCATTACATACTGTGAAGCTATGTAAGGAACTTTGTGGTTCCCAGTGACTTGTGCTCTGAAACACAGAACGTGAGGTATGAAAGCATCTGGCCAGAGTGGTCCAACAGAGATCCTTGTCCCCAGGTCCCACAGAGGGCAGGACAGACTCTATCACCTCTGGCAGAAGCACAATTTCTGTTTCATTTGTTAGGAGAATTTCTCCTCTGCCTTCTGAAACCCCCCACCCTCCCCGCAAAAAAAAAAGGCACAAAGCATTTCTCTGGTTTTTGGACTCTCCCTAAAGTTGATCTCACCCAAACTGAAGGGACCGCAGAAACTACCAGAGACCTTGATGGGAGTGAGTGGTAATGGAATTTTACATTTCTTTCCAAGGCTTTTACATTTTTCTGATTGTAGGAGTGGGATAGTGGAGAAACAGACAGGGCCCAGGAAAAGCCAAAACACCCACAAGAACAGGCAAGTGACAAATAGCGGCCATACCTGAAGGATGCCAATCACCTTTTTGGCTATAAAAGGGCCAAAGTGAGATGCTTTTGATAAGCTCACTCCTTTGTAGTCTGCAAGAATTACAATTCCATTCACTTGGGTTTCTTCAGACTGAATGAGTTTTTCTAACGTCAAGTAAATGGCGCGGATGTTTTCGGTAATTGGATAGTTGCTCGGTATCCATCTGTCTGAGGTCGTAAGAGACGGACAGCATGTTACACAAAATAAATACAAACACTCAGACAGGCTAAGATTTATCTCCATGCAAAAAGTGTTGTTTAAAAACGGGAAAGCAAGATATTCTACTGGCATGATATTCTACTACGTTGGTTAGTAAATGGGACACTTTCGGCAGCTTCTGTTTCTTAACTCCAAACACAGCAGCACTTTCTGAAATGGAAATGCAATCGAGCAGTTGAAGTTAAAAGTATAAGCTCTGAAGTCAGACACACCTGGGAGTTTGACTCTCACCAGCTGAGTGACCTTGGGCAAGTTACTTCCTCACTCTGAGCCTACGTTGCCTCAGAAGTAGAATGGGGTTAACAGTAGCTTAATGGACATCTGTGCCTTCTGCCATCAGATATCCATCCTTATCTTCACACCACCCTGATTTTCCTTGGGGAACCACCTCCTCCCACACTAACTAGCCATGAAGCTTGGATACAACTGACTTGACTCCTGGCCACGGTGTGTGATCCAAGCCAGGTTAACTAGAGCCAAGGGGACTCGATTCTGGGGCTCTGGCCCTTTAGAAAGAGATCTGTCTTTTGTCTCATAGTGGTGAAGCTGGAAGCCTGAGACTCAGGGACCCCATGAGGCAAGAACTGGTCTGAGAAGGAAGCCCATGTTGAGGACAGCAGGGACACAAAGGGCTTTCCAATGCCGCAGTTTGAGCAAACTCCCTTTTCCGGGCTGGATGTTCCTTTAATACCCGCCCCCCGCCCAATATATTTAAGAAGTCTTTTCCTTCTTTGGGAAAAAGATGGAAATGACAACTTTTGACTATTAACCACTATTCTCGAGAAAAGCCCACCAAGATCTGTGTGTCCCTTTGATTGTTACCAAGGGGATATATAATACATGCAAAATGCCTATGAAAAAAAATTTTGTCCAAAGACTGTGTCAACTTGCTGTTGTTTAATGCTGCTGTCAATTAACCCTGCTTCTACATAACTGGCTGTCATCCTTTTTAACCACATATGTCTCAAAGGAGCTCATAAAAAGGCAGAGCCAATCCACAGTTGAGGACAAAACTTCCTGTGTATGCCTCCTCCTGCAAGGCTGTCAGTGGGGAAGAGTCTAGATCTGTCCAGATATATGGGGGAAAAAATTCATCTCACAAGCAAAGGGCTGAAGCCAGTGTGGTAACATCTGATGTTTTGTAAGAACTCTTATGAGCTGAACATAAAGGAGCAGCAGAAAAACCCACTGCCTGGTTCCTAGGTCTCCTGGCACCTTGAAATCTCCACTGCATTGCTTATTTAAAAATAAACACCTCTCATTTTGGAAAGTGCCTAAAATAGCAAATAAAGCACTTAGTTAACACTGTGCCTGGTACATAGTAAAGGCTCAAGAGAATGGCTTAGTCTCCAAAGAGGGTTTGGTAAATGACCAAAGGAAACGGTGATGAGGGGGATTGAAGGCAGAGGTCTCCAGCCCCGTCAGACATCCCCTCGAGGCATTTGTACACATGAACAAAGAAGGCTGCCAGCAAGCTCTCATTTTCTTGGCTTGCTGGGAAGAACACGGCAATCCTAGTTTCGTATTTTGTCTCAGCTCTGGCCCGATGGAAAACGTTGCGGCTGGGGGTGGGGTGAGTTTATGATGCATCTGGTGTCACAGAAGAGAACAGGATGAAGAATCAGGAGGCTCAAGTTCTCGCATCCCCTAGTCGTCATGTCGACTAAACAATGTCCACACACATCTCTAAATGCCATGGGGGTGGGGAGCTGCCCGCAACTGAAAACTACTGTGCCAAAGAAATATAGGGTGTCCTGATCACCACCGTGAAGTGCTAAGATCAAAAAGTCAATCTAAAGTGCGTCCTTTCAATGGCTTAACTATGTAAAGGAAAGGAGGGAGAGGTGGGAGGAGGCACACGGCAGACTGACACCTTTCCAGGAGACGCCCAGCCCACACTGATATCTGTATCTCACCTACTACAAAGGAGGGACGGGGCCAGGGGCTGCTGGCAGCCCTGCTTGCATCCTATGAACAGGGCAGCTTTCTCAGCCCTAGAAATCTGGAATTTGTATTGAAGGAGCCTAGTTGGGTGGCCAGGTAAACCTGGGAGCTGAGGGGTGCCAGATCTGACCACGTGCACAGAGGCAGCAAAAACCAGCATACAGAGAAAAGAGTGAAGAAGATATGCAAAGGGCAGCAGAAATGTGTGGCCCAGAGAGACACACTGACAGACAGACAGGCAGAGGCAGAGACAGGGAGAACAGCTGGCTTAGTTCCTGAAGGGGAAACAAACTCGATTCTGGTTCTGGGTTCCAGAGCCCAGTGAGATGCTGTGCCTTCAGTTCACTGGTTCTGTGACACGCTCCTGTCTCCTTAGACTAAATCTTCCCTTTTTAAAAAAGCTGGGTTGACTAAATCTTCCCTTTTCAAAAAAGCTAGGTTTTGTTATCTGCAATCAAAAGACTTTTGACTAAAACAGGGAGGGGACAAAAAGGAAAAAAGAAAGGGGAGAGGGTGCTGGACAGACACATCCCGAACAGAGAGACCGTACACACGCACTCCGCAACAGTCTCGCGTAATACCTGGGCGGATGCAGAGGACGTGGCAGCCTCGGGGGTCAGTGTGGGGCAGCACGGTGAGGAACCCAGAGGCGAGGACATCTTTCAAGGCCGATGGCTTCAGGTTATTGAAGACTTCGGGCCAGCTTCTCCTGCAGCTGTGGTAGTTGACCAGGAGCTGCAGGGCCCGGTCGTAATCAAACTTGCGGGCTCGGAGGAAGCGCAGCAGGAAGGCGTCGTCCAGTGAGGTGCCCAGGTTTGGGCATTCCTTCCTCACCATGTCACGGAGGGCCTGCACATCCCGGAGCCTCCATTCTGGCTTCTCCTGAAGCTCTTCCCTGGCCTTGGTGACCAGTTCATCTGTCAGTGAGCACACGTAGCCAGGAGGCTCGGGTGCTGGCGGCAGCTCATTTTCAGAAAGCGAGGCCGCGGAAGGGCTGGTTCTCAGAGAGTCACTTTCTTCTGACATTAGCTACCAGGATCCCTGTCAAAACAGAAGCCCCAAGCGAAGTTAATAAAGTCCACGGCTCGTTTCTCACCTCAGGGCAGCTGATGTAGGGGGACAGGAAGATTTTTGTCAAGCCGAGTAACCTCAAAGCAGTGGTTCTCAACAGGGGGAGTGCACTGGATCTGAACCATGTGCCCAGGTCCAAGCCTAGACTGAATGAAGTTACAATCTCCACAGAGGCACCCAGTCACCCAGATACACGCACTCCTCATCAGACATCATGGCCTTGCTTACAGATGTATGAATGGGCGCTCGACCTTACTTATAATTAAAGAAATGTGAATTAAAACAACTTTCATATGCAGACTGGCAAAAATATAAAAGGGTACTCTGATATGCTTGCTGTTGATGGGAGAATAAACTGACGTAGCCTCTTTAGACAGTAGTTTGTCAATATCAAAATTTAAAAGCACATACCCTTTGGCCCAGCTTTTCATTTCTGGTACATATACTTATATGTGTATACAAAATATGTATACAAAGATGGCCATTACAAGTATTGATTATAATGGCAAAAGACTGAAAATACTTTATATACCATTTGGAGACTGGCTAAATAATATCACTGTATGAATGGGATACTATTTAGTCATGAAAAGGAATTAGGCAAATTTTCATAAGTTGATATGTTAAGGAAAAAGTAAGTAGGTTGCAGAACGGTGTACATACAATAATCACATTTATATTTGAAATACACATATATGTACTTGTGAATGCACCTAAAATTTCTGGAAGGAGATGCAAGAAACTGTTACCAATGGTTCCCAGAAAACAGACCTGGAGAACTAGATATTCAAGATGGGAATGACTTTTTACTGTACTGATTTTTTTTTTTTTTACACCATATATCCATGTGACTTATCATGGCAACAATGAAACTGAGCTCATCAGATTTCCTGCTGGGTGGAGAAAAAGTGATGGATGGCCCCAGCTGCTGTCCCTCTGGATCCATCATCCCACTGGATGCCATAATTTCCACAGACTGTCCCCAGCCTATGACTAAAACATGGGGCTCCTCTAACAGGCAACTCTGCCTCGAGGACTCCCTGCCAGCCTGGTTGGATCTTTCATTTAACTGCACTGCAGTCTGGGACTTTCTGCCCAAACCTCCTTCACAGGGGCTGGGCTCGCGTGGCTGGCCGAGGGCTCTCCCTGACTTCTCCAGCTCCCCTCAGTTTATACTTCATGGGCGTTGCCTCCAACAAATGCCTAATCTCATCCTAGTGTCTGTTTCTTAGACAACCTGATCAACACACTAATTGAAATGAAAAACAAAAACAAAACAGTTGCCTTAGATATTCCAGGAATAAGGTAGCAGCAGGCTGTCCTGTTCCAAGGCCCACGCTCTTGTCCATGTGTTGCCACTGATCCCCAACTCAGAGCTCAATAGGAAGGCAGGGACCACCTTAGGGGGCTCTGCACACAGCCAGCCTCCCCCCAGTGCACAGCAACCAGGTCACTCCCTCTAAATCTCGTCTGCCCACTCCATTTCTTGCATTCTAACCTCCAGCCCTACCCAGCTTCTTCCACTCTCCCCCAAAAGTGTTTCCTTGTCTTCTGCACATCCTGATTCCTCTGACTAGCATGCTTTTGCTCTAGTTTGCTGATTGATTTACCCTTGAGTTCCAATTAGATGACATTTCATTCATTCAACAAATAGTGAGCAATTACTATGTATCAGGTCCTCTTCCAGGCATTGGGAATACAGCAGTGAAAAACTAAAAAATTCTGTCTTCATCGAGCTTACATAGCAGTAGGGGGAACTATAAGCAAAATAAACTATAGTCTATTAGCAGACGGTAAGTACAATGGAGAGAAACAAAGCAGGGCAGGGGGTTGGATGTATCTGCGGATAGAAGTTAGGATTATAAACAGAGTGGTCAGGGAAGGCCTCACCCAGGCGACATTTGCGCAAAGACAAAGGAGACAAGGGAGCAAGCCATGCAGGTATCTGGGGGAAGAGCAAGTGAAAAGCCTGAGGCAGGAACATGCCTGGCTTTTTTGAGAGACAGAGAGGAGGCCAGTGTGGCTAGAGCCAAACGAGCAAAGTGGAGTGTATTAGCAGATGAGTTTAGTGAGGTACTGGGGGTCCCACTGGTACAGAGCTTTCAGGGCCAGGAAGAACTTTAGCAGGAGGCCTTCTCTGGCCCCAGGCCAGGGTAGGAGGCTTCCCTCTGGAGCTCTCTAACATAGCTCTCCTCCCACTCCACTGTAATTGTCTGTGGGTTATCTGTGGGCAACATTCACATCTGTCTTGTTCATCGTCTTAAACCCAGTACCTAACAGGGTGTCAGACACATAGTCAGCACTCCATAAATATTTGTTGAATGAGTTTAATCTGCTTGGTAGAGGTATGCAGAGTGAAAAATGGAGCAACAATCATAGTTCACAGGACCCACCCTGGGCTTGTTTCCACGGGAGTCATCAACAGATACCTGTAATCCCAATCCAGTGCTTACCCAGGAGGCAGACTGTAGTGTCCAAGTCCATGTCCTAGCCTCAAAGTCCCCTCTCCAGCCTCTCTCCCATCCTTCCTCCTCAATGCACATTAAATGCCAGTCAAAACAATCTTATGACCCACCACTCTCAGAATACCTCATGCATTTTTGATACCACTGCCAGGAATTACCTCTCATTTTTTCCCAACCAGACAACTCATCACCTTCTAGGCTCAGTGTCTATGTCACCTCCTCTGTGAAGTCTTTCCTGATTCCCCAGGATGATTCACTCTAATTTTCCACAGCACCGAGTTCCTCTTTTTTTCAGAAATGGCACTCCAGTATCATGGGTCTTTACATGAAACTCCTCAGTCAGTTTTACCAATCATTCACTATCAAATAATTATTGATCACCTACCATGTGTCAGGTGCTGTGCTCATAGGCATGGGGCACACAAGAGAACAATATAACTCTTTGCCTTATGAAGTTTACCTTATACTGGAATAATGAAAAGATAATATGTACTTGAGCATTTTACCATGTTTTAAGCAGCATGATAAGCACTTTGCATCTGTCTCTCATTTAATCTTCACAATATTTGGTGAAAACACTATAACAGTTTCCATTTACAAAGGAGGAAACTGCCCACTAGATGTAAATTCCATGAGGGCAATCTGTATGGCACGTTCACAGCTATCCCCAATGCCTGGCACATGACGATGCTCAGTAACTACTGGTGGATGATGTGATGTGCCCAAGGGTCCACACCCAGAGAAGCGGAGAAGGCTGTGTCTAGCCCCACACTGGGCTCTACACTCCACCTGACCTCCAGGGTGTTGGCAGTGTCAAGCACAGAGCAGGGCTCAGTCACAGTACGGTGAATAAACTGATGGGTGGGCTGGATGGGTGCAAACACCATTTGTCAGCCTATCACCCTGTGAGCATCACTTTCCTTCCCACCCCACCCAAACAAGGAGAGGTCAGAATGTCATGGCTCCGGGAGCCCCAGAGACCCCACATCCCATCGACAGTCTTCCAAGGCCCTGTTGTCACCTGTTAGGTTCGCCAAAGGAGGAACGCACAAGGCCAAAGGGATTAAGTAAAGTTTATTGTGGCATAGTAACCGCCAGGCTGGGCCGAAGATGGCGTCAGCCCCCAATGTAAAGAGGTGCGAAGCTTATATGTGGCTTGAGGTGGGTGTTTTTGGCAGGAGTTTTCTAGGTGGGTAAACTGGCAGGTATGGTGGAAAGTCCTTTAGTCCAGTGAAACAGGATGTGGGCATGTAGCCATTGCCAACCCAGATGTTGCAAGGTCAAGCACCCACACAAGGGGTAGGGGATATGGCCCTCTTGGACCTAACATTCCAGCTTTTTGTTTTATGGAATAGGGACGGGGATGGTGGGATCTGGTAGTGGATGGCCAACCTGGAGTGTGGCAGAAACTGGTAGGTTCTGCCAGCTGGAGAACTTGATACTGTGACCTGGAGTGAGGTAGCATGACTTCTGCTACAGACTGATTGATAAACAAGTGAAAACAGTCCTAGAGGAGAGAAGAAATCTGGCGTAGCATGCAAGGTCCAAAGACCAAAATGAGGGTTAGAGGCCCTATGAAGGGTAAGAGCCAGGTACTCCAGTTGTTTTTTAGCCAGGTGTCCCAAGAATTCATTTGGTACTCTCTCATCGATTGGCTCTGTACTTTAGTTTTTTTAACTGCGTCTCTTACTAGTCCTGATTGGCTAACATAAAAACAACATTCTTCCTCTAAAAAGAGGCAGAGACCTCCTTTTTTAGCTATCAGGAGATCTAGCCCTCGTCTGTTCTGTAAGTGATGGCTGCTAGGGAGTCAATTTGATTCTGTAAGTGAACTATACTTTTTGCAATTTCATCTAGGCTTTCTTGGAAGTCACTGGATAATGCTTTGAAGTAAGAAAGAGTGGTGACAAGTCCCCGTGTCTGGTCTCAGTCCGGTAGTAACCCCTAGTGTGACTCATATAGTGTGTGATGGGGACTGGTAGGGACTGATTATTGGAGGCTACTTCTATATTTGGAGAGAGATAGACTAGAGTACAAGTTCCGGTCCAGTTAGTGGGAAGGCAGAGGTAAGCGCTAGTTCCATATAGAAAGACCCCGTTGTTGGGTAAACAAGTGGAAAGGTGTATGGAGAACAAATGATTAAGAGGGTAAGTTGTTCCCATGCGCCCTGTCTGGGGCTCAGAAGAGCTGTCGCTACAGCAGCTCCAGTTAAGGGGGATAGGTGAGTAGAAGTATTAGGAGGTCTGCAATGAAAGTGTTGGGGAACTGCAGAGACAGTCATAATCCAAGGAAAGAAGGAGAGGGAGGGTATGGAATAGTTGTGAGAGGTCGCAAGGACTGTAGGGTAACTTGTGAAGCGGACGGGTTGTAAGAAGAGACCAACAGCCTCTGGGGAGACCTGGTAAGTCTATCTGTTGAGTCCAGTGGCTGTTGGGTAGTTGGACTGTAACCGTCTAGCTGCACAGATTGGAGGGTAGGTGTCCTACAGATATGTTGCTACCAATCCTTGTGAAACAAAGGGGAGCCTTGGAAATTAAAGAGGTAGTTAGGGTTGTGGGTCCTATTATTGGTATGGAGGAATGTGCTTCCTTTGCAAGAGACTGGGTATAGGTATTACAGAGATTAGCCTGTACTGTGGAGTAAGTCCCAAGGAGAGTATCTGCCCTTTCAAGGAAAATGGATCCCTTTCTTTTTGCTACGAAAGGGTTGTTTGTACTTGGCCCCGTTTGATGAGGGGAATGAGGAGGGCAGAATATGCTGAGGACGGGAGGGAAAGGCAAGGCCGCAGTCCTTGGCTAACGCAGGGCTGGACTTGTTGAGGCGAGAACGGGTGAGACTGAGAGCACTCGGGATGAGCAGCAGTGAGAAAGCTCTGCAGGGAAGCCGAAGAGGAGGCAGACGACTGGGAGAGATAAGTGAGTAGTTAATAGGGTGGATATGGGAGGTGTCCTTGACCTATGTGATGAGGAACTTTGCCCCACGGGTCTAACAGGTGAGTGATACAGGTCCAAGAGTAATCAAAGTTTCCCTGTAAAAGTGATTCCCATAAAAGTTAAAATGCTGAGACAGAGAGGAAAGGGAGGCTGCGCTCAGGCTGAATTTGTTGGGGTAATGGTGTTATCTATTCTCGAAGAAGGGGAGAGTCTGAACAGAAGGGACAGGGACAGTAAAGTTCACTCGTTTGTCCTCCTTCTTCAGGAATTCGGGTTAGCCGAAGCTTTGTAGGTTCGATGGAACAGTTGTGGTATTTGGGATGTTCAGTCATACTTGGTTCCTCTTTTAGTCTGAAAAAATGGAACCAGTTGGGTGTCCAATAATCTTAGCTGCAGTTGGAATGGTTAAAAGTACCTAGTGAGGGCCTTGCCATCTTGGTTTAAGATCATCTGACTGGAGATTCTTAAGTAGGGCCCAATACCAGAAATTACAGGAGTAGGTGAAAGATTTCCTGCGAACGGCCTTGGCAGGACTTGGTCCCAAGGCAGGACTTGGTCCGCATATTCTCTTGGTATTGGTCTAATTAGTTTAGCATGGGTATGTAATCTCCCCAGGGGGATGTCGTGGTTAGGAAGAAACGGTCTTCCGTACATGAGTTCAAAGGGGCTGAGAAAAGAGGGGGCCTGAGGGGGAGCCCTGACGTGCATGAAAGCACATCGGGGTTCTTTAATCTCTAGACTGTTTATTAACTGAGTTTTTATTAGCTTTTTCTACTTTTCTTGAGGACTTAGGTTGATAAGGAGTGTGCAGGTTCCATTGAATTGATTGAGCTGACTTCTTGTGTTATTTGAGATATGCAGGCTGGGCCATTATCTGACTGTAGTGAGGCAGGTAGTACGAAGCAAGGAATAATATCTTTTAGAAGTGCCTGGGTATCTTCAGAAGACTTCTCAGAGGTGGTGGGGAAAGCCTCGACCCATCCAGAGAAGGTATCTAAGAGGGTTAGTAAGTGTCGGGTTTTCCTGATGGGGGCATGTGTGTAGAGTTGATTTGCCAATCTTGTCCAGGGTTGCTGCCTCTAGCCTGATGGGTGGGAAAGGAAGGAGGGTGTATGTATCCCTGTGGGGGAGACTGTGGGGCAGATAGAGCAATTTTTCATAATATCTCGAAAGAGAATGTTGAAGTTATTGCAGGTAATGAGGGGTTTTAGGAGGTATAAAAGTGGTCTAAATCCAATGTGTAGAGTTACGAATATCTTGTAAGATATTCTGAGCTTGGCCCTGTGGTAAAATATACCTTCCCTGCATCTCTCACCTTATCTGCTCCAAGCTTGAGGAGAGACTGATACTCTTTAGGAGAGTATTGTGGTGTGAGATGAGAAACAGCTAAGAGTTGAGAGGAAGTGGGTGGTTGCTGCACAGCGCTTTTGGCCTCTTGATCTCCCTTATTATTGCCCTGTGTGATGGGGTCGTTTCCTGCCTGGTGCCCCTTACAGCCAACTCCTGCTGCTGCCTTGGGGAGATGAGCTACCTGAAGAAGTTTAAGAATTAAGGGGACATTGGTTATGGGAGAGCCTTTGGTGGTAAGAAATCCTCTTCCTTCCCAAATTGAGGCATGTGAATGGAGAATGTGGAAGGCATATTTGGAATTTGTATAAATGGTAACCTCCTGCCCAGGTGCTAAGGTTAACGCTCTGGTGAGGGCGATTAATTCTGCCTTTTGAGAGGTAGTCCCTACAGGAAGTGGATTAGATTCTATGACCGCTGTGAGAGAGACTACTACGTAGCCTGCCAATCTTTTCCTGTCCTGGGAGAAAGAACTACCATCATTAAACCAAGTGTGAGAGGCAGTGGGTAAGGAAGAGTCTGTTATATTTGGGAAACAGGGAGTCTTAAGGTTGAGGATTTCTATACAGAAGTGTGAAGTCTCTTTGTTGGGGATGGGACTGAGTGGAGGCCATTTGGCTAGGGTAACATGGGGAGATTCAATAAAGATCAGGTGAAAAGTTCACATTCTGGATGGAGAGAGATTTGGGGCAGCTTTGTGTGTTACGAGGCCAGAGAGGTTACGTGAAGAATAGACTGTGATGGGTTGTCCGAATGTGAGTTTCTGACTTTCAAGAGTTAGAACAGCAGCCGCTGCCAGGGCTCTTTGACGGGCTAGCCAACCCCTAACTGTAGTATCTAACTGTTCTGATAGATAGGTGACGACTGAGTGTCGGGTCCCTGAACTCATCCTAAAAGTCCAAGTGCTATGCCTTCCCTCTCCATAAAGTTTAAAAGGTGGAGAGATTC